TTAGATACCGCATGTTGAAGTTTTACATCAGATTCGATTTATACTTGCAGAGCGCTCAAAAAGCTGATCTTTTTCGCTTTGTAGCACAAAGAAATTGATTGTACTGCCTACTGTCTGTCTCCCACAACCCTAGACCCTCTTGTGATTTTTGGTGTAGGTAAGCAAGTAAACTGTTCGCTGCCAGTTGCTTCACGATAAAAATCAATTACATGGACGACCCCTTTGTCTCGCAGAACAAAATCTGTTCAAGCAACAATCTTTAATCATACATATAACCTTTTCAAAAGGTCAAGAGGACACAACGTTAGTGGAGGGCAAATGGTACTCATGAGGATTGTCCTCAAACAAAGTCGAGTTTAACTGAACTGTTCTATTAGTTTTTACCGAATTCTTGCCTTCAGTACTAATCCAGCACACAGAGTACATCAAGAAAATTGAGAATGTTGCAGGTTTATCTACTCCACTACCACTTAACGAGGAAACTGTGCAACCCGTGATCTTTCGTTTTTTTTTCAGCAATCACCCTCATCAGTAATCTCTTTAACTGACGTTTTCTAGGCCTGTGCCCCTGAAGAAACCACCAAACCGTAAACAAATTCACTTCTCACTATCGTAAAAAATGTTCCAAACATGTGACCACAGTCAGGAAACACATTCAAACGCAACGCAAATACAATACTGCTTGTTTGGGGTTTGGCTGAGCCAGGTAGAAGGGTGTTAGTGATCAGTGAAAGACGTTAAGAGCAATAAGCGCTATGTAGCGCTAGCGAAGTCTCAATTTTGTGCAACGTTTGAGAACTATTGAAAGCACTGCTTTGTTGGGATTCCTCTTCGGTCATACTCAGACCTGTTACAGTTCAAAGTCCGCGTTTCAAGGGTGTAAGAAATTGAAAGTAAAAAAGGGGTGCATTACAGTAAAAATTCGTCTTCAATGTAAAAATTTCAGCAAAATGTTTGTTGAATGGTTTGGAAGAAAACATATGACTAGGGAGGTAGAAAAAAGTATTCTGTAGGGAAAACGTCATGAGAAACGAAGGATTGAAACTTAAGTTGAAACTAAAACTTATGTGAAACTTTTCCAGACATATAGATTCAGTGTCACATTTCAGCTTTTGAAAGAAGAAGAAAAAACGCGTGCTTCCCACGGGTTCACGCCGATTCCGCCGTTGCCGCTGAGCTCTTCGTAAGAATGACATGTCAAATATTTGTCTCCGACCCTTGGCATTTATTAGCTTAAGGTCGAAGAGGGTTCTCGCCGTCGAAAAAAATTCCAAAGCAGTTTTTTTCTCGATTTCAATTGTCAAACAGTGTGCTTTTAAAAACTGATCCGCTAAACGGAACTAGCCCTTTTACCACTAATCACGTGAGGAATTTGACTGCTAGGAAAACCTTGACAAACCTGTAGAAGCCTATAGGCGAACGCTAACTATTACACTGACACTAAACGTTAGCCGACAAGGGAATCCTAAACGCATATTCAACTTCATTCCAGAATAGTTACATCTGTGAGCCTTTATCCTCTGTGCTAATCCAAAAGACTTAAATTCCAAACCGATTAGCATAGAATGCCGCTTAACATTACTTTCGACCTTGTTGTTCTAAATACAAGGGAGGCTTATATATAACGGTTCCAGGACATGAGTGGAAGTAAAAAATGAAGGGAGAAAAAACAGTGGTTTGATTTTCCAAACAATCTCATCAATGTTTTGATATCGCTGTCTTTATACGTTCTGCTTGTGAGTTCAAAGGCGTCTTTTGGGATAATGGAAAAAAAACTCAAGGGTAGGACTGACAGGGATCGGCTCTTTCTAGCAAAGGAGAGGGAATTCGGAAAGGAAAATGTTCAAAAGTATACGAGTAGAACTCTCCTTTGAGAAACCTAAATCAGCAGAAAAAATGGTACAAAGATGGTAAGTAGGAGATGGAAGCAATGAGAAAAATGCTAGTTTTACAGGCGTAGGATTTAGCCAGGCCAAAAAGTAGGAGTTATCCAACAAACTGCGAGAAGAGGATCAGTGAAAGCATGTAGCAGCTCGGTTACCGACAAGCGACGAAACCACGTTTTCCATTTTCCAACCAGGGTATCGATTCTCATTGTGCTGATGGATCGTAGCGAATTCTATTGAACTGGTGCTCACAACCAATGTTAGTTGCAGCCAAATCTTGTTATAAATAAAGCAACGGAGGGTTCGAATTGTACCCGCTCGTACTGCTAATTCTTCGACAAGACGTACATGAAAAATACCCAGAAGACAGCCTAAAAATTGGCTTTATGAAGGGTCATGAAGGTCAGTATCGCATATTTATACCCGCAATGGGTTTTTGAACAGACTAACAGACTTGCTCCACTTTGGCTTCACGAAATTAGCGTGGAAAAGCCTGAGAATTGAGAAAGCGGCCAAACCGGGCTAGTTGGTGAAGAGACAAATCTTTAGGCATCTAATTTTGGCTGAGAGTCGATTGGGTGCACATTTTCAAAAGAAAGATAAATCAATAGTTAATTTTTTCTTATCGAAACATGTACTCAAATAATTATCACGCTTCATTTTGGCAATTCGCCAATAGTAGCCTCCATTGTCAGCTTTTCATGCAACAGCCGCGGAAATCCAAATATTCATTGACCATATTTGCTCAGTCACGATTGACATTGATAAGTGTTTTCGACCTTCAAGAGTAAACATGAGAATGATTTGCGAACTTTTGACTTTTTTTATGCCTCCCGTGATGGACTCTCGATCACTGTGTCGGAAAGGGGAAGTTCGAGACCTCTAGAGAAGTGTCTGGCAGCAGCGTTGAGGGACCACAGCTGCGATTCTGACGGCTGCAATTGCTCGTCCGCAGCGAGAAGCGAAGGAAAAAGGCCATTCAAGTTTTTGCCATAGTCAGTGCATCGAGTGGGAAGCTCTTGACTGATCCCTATAAATTTTTCCATCTCATACTTCGGTGGGAAATAGATACTACCACCATAAAGAAACGGGTGGTAATGAATTAGCGCCAAGTATGTACAGATTCATCAGTTAAGAAATTTCAGAGTTATTCGACAGCAAATTATTGGGCTCAGACCAAACCTCACGCTCACAGGTACGACTTCTCCACGTTGAGTTGCCTACTAGATTGTTATACTTCCTCCTCAAATGCCAGCTTTTACTCATTACTGCTTGCCCTTGTTGTAATGTCAATGAAGGGGTTTTTCAGCATGAGAGAGACTGATCCTGATTTGTAGTTTTTCAATAGCATTACACTTTCTCAAACAGTACTTCCGAAAGTATGAAAAGGAAGATGGCATAGAGGAAAGGTCTTATCCCATATTGGTAAGTATACATATTCATATTCGGTATTATGGGATGATTCATGGTACAAAGTCGTACCTACTGGCAGCCAGCAAGGCAATTTTCTGGTGGTAGTTGAAAAGTTTTAAGAATTCTTGAAAAAAAGGAGAATTCAGGGCATTCCAAAACTAATTTCGTTTAGTGGCTACACACTCTCATTAACTAACTTCATACCTTGTACAAAAGTATTAGGGGAAGACTCAGATTTATCATATAATGAAAAGGAAATTTTGAGAGCTGATAGATCGATTCTTCTACTTGAGGTTAATTTAATTAATGAATAGAGCCAATGTAATCGAGTGAACCACCGAGTTGATCAAGACGAAGTCTATTGTACAGTGAAATGAAAGTTCGGATTCACACTTGACAATCTCTGCTTTTTAAATCCTGATTTGTTATTTGTCTTATTTTTCTTATCAAAACATAATATAACAGAATATTTAAAAGTCGAATGATAACGGAAAGTCACTAAACTAGTCATAACGTACCGTTCGTGATTCGAGGAAAAGTGATTTGACAGAAACTTTTCGCGATGTCAGCGAAACATTAGGTAAACAGACACAGACAGACCACTTCATATCGCTTTGTACACAGAAAACCAAAGCGTACGAGGTCATAGACGTCATCAAGACAATTACTTAGTGATAATAGCTTTGCAGTTAACAAGTTTTTCCGACTTTTATTGTTATATGTTGGACTTCAACCGAAAAGCATGACCACTACTTCCTCTCCGGGTGATCTTCAGAAAAGCTGAAGAGCTCAGCCTTCCAGCCGGAGCACGGTACTGGAGTTAAACAGATCGTCGGCAGTGCTACAACTTTATGTTGCTTACATATTTCTAATGGTGTTTATCGCCTCTTTTTAATTACGATACCAATAAGCACAAACACGAGTGCCATCACCTTACTGCCTTTGTGAGTTGCCAGTGTAAAAACTGTAATACAGCAAAGGGAAAACTGCATCGAATGCTGTCACATTGACTACTAAAAATTCTTATCAGTCTGTGTCGCTGTTGTTTTTTCCTGTCACCCAGCGATAATGCTACTTTTTCAATATCCTTCACTTTATTAGCGTGAAGGCGTCACTGTTGAGGCACGCGAACCCGTCCAGCACATTTGGACGGCCACCGCCTATAGCAATTTGCCGAAATAAATACAATGACCATACTTGTTCTTCAATCGGCCTTCCTGGGGGAAGATCGTTCTTAGCTAGATGATGCAGTTGCATGACGATTAATGATTAAGAGAGTAACAACTTTGCTACACTGTGCTGGTGAAACTATGACCCAATTGTTAGGTAAACTTGTCATCATGAAGTGCACTAGAACGAATTGGGGCTCAGATGCTCTCGTCAGTGAACGACTCTGCACTAAGCATTTTTGCCCATGTTGTTTGTTTCCGAGAAGATTCTCCCACTTATGAAGTACAGCATTTTTCCGGGCTCCGATAACCTTCAGGCCTTCTGGAGCACAACACCTAGAGAGCAAGACATGTTGTTCAAATGGTTCACTGCATCACAGCCCTAATTCCTTCTGATATTTTTAACTCCGAGGCCCTCTTCTTACATTGCTATTTTAAAGGAAACTTACATTCCGATCGTATCACTATACCCGAAAAAATACAGCGAACACCTTGTCAAATGCGATAAATTAAGAGATATTTATTTCGTCGTCTATTCAGTTGGTTTTAATTTTACGATTGTCTTTCCAGTGATTCCCTTGCTAGGATCTGTTGCATTATATTCGATTGTCAAGTTCTCCTCCGGTCCTTTACCAGCCTGAAGACTATATCTTTTCAACTTCTACGATTACTTGGAACATTGTTCACAGATAAAAGACCCGACCCCCAAAAAAACGCTCTTGCCCATTCAAGCTTGTTAATTTATGTGATGCCAGTATTTGACTATACATAAAGAGTTTGGTAAAAGGCATCAAAATTCGGCTGTATACGACTGCGATGAGGGCTGGTGCAGTTTTACACGTAGAAATTGCCTTAGAAGCAAAAAAAAGTTGGCCTCTCGTATTTTCGATCAAGGGAGAAGAAGATGATGTTGATCTTCAATGCTTCTCTAGGGCTGAGCTTGCCTCATTCCCTCAATTCTATGAAGATGGGGTTTCTTTTCGAGATCCTCATTGCTGTTGGCTCTAACTCAGAGTACATGATGGAATGATGAAAGAAGATGAAATGGTCCATTCCAAAAAGTGGCACCAGACAGGCCACTCGTTTTGCTATGCTGCACATGGACCTGATTCAAGTGTGTAATAGGCTCTCTTTCACCCACAAAATACCCTTCCAAGTAAAAGGTTGTTGCCTGAATCCCAAAAAAAAAANAAAAAAAACGAATTTCTACTTGAACAAGAGAAAGAATGAGGTAATATGTTCTCGTGGCGCTTATTTCTCCAAAATCATATTCATTACATGAGACGGCTTGTGTCATCACATCACATCATCATCACACTAGTGACATAGGGTGTCACTAGTGTGATGATTGCCAAAGCTCGTTGCATAGCAAGCATGAAGTTTCGAAAAAGATCACAAATACAAAAAACCAGAGCTGATAGTTTCAAAAATGTAACACTGCAAAATAGGATAAGAGAAGTGGAGCAAGAACATGAAAGTGAATTTACAGCAGCGAATAGGTGTACTATCAAGGAGTCAGCTACCAAAGAGAGGCTACTACGGTCGTAAAGAAGAGAACGCCAGGGGAGAGATTTCATTTGCTCAATGCTGCCTATGACAGGTTTGGGCATATATACAGAAAAAAAGTAGAAAACGACTAGAACTAGAAAGGACAGGAACTGCAAACTAGAATTCAGTGTCCACAATGAAGGTCCTTGAGCAAAAATGCACTACTAGTGAGACCACTGTGACAAAGAATGAATTTGTTGAGAGAACTTCTCTTGATTTAACTAGCAATGACTAAATTTACGGTTCGATCTATGTTAGAGGATTCTTTTGAACAAAAACCGTATTGCTGCCCATATCATATGTATATTTGATGGAATTCGCCTAAACTCTCTCAATCATGTCAACGAATATATTTGCCCTCATTCACGTAGAAAGTCGCTATCCTACACAGCCAGAGTGGTTTTGTTTATCTCATGAAAACGCAAAGAAGAAAAGCAGTGCTATCGAACAGTTGTTTTGATCTAATGTTCTTGTTAACTGCTGTTATTCCACCGCAATAGGCGATGGGAAAGTCCCACAAGGTCGGCGAAGTCACGGTACGGTAAGGGATAGAAGAACACAGTACCCGGAAAACTTAAGCATGATTTGAGTCCCATCCGAAGCCGAACCCCAACCCACAACTTGCCAACCTTGTGAGACTATCAGTAAAAGCCTTGCTTTGAAACCTCGAGTTTTGCTTTAAAACTCTATCAGCAGCAAGCTAAAAGTGCCAGTCAATGGAAGTTCTCAATCAACTGAAAAGCCCGGATTCTCAGTCAGAAGTGCAGGCGGAGCCAGAGGCCAAGGCTTGACTTTATTGGGGATGGATCAAGAATCGAACAAAGAAATGATTCAGTGTAGGTGAGGCCAAGTATTAGTAAACTCGCACTAATGGGGATATGTAGCGCTTCTCGCGTTCGATTATGGTAGGTCGGTTATGGAAGGAAAACAAATTCGGTAAGATTGACAAAAGCCTCTCCTACAAAGGCAGTTCGTGAGGTGCCTATCGCGCATGAGATGAAAAAAAGAGCAATAACAAAGAACACCCGTATAACTCAATTTGCACACCTTTCATCTCAGGGTTTGATAAAAAAGGCAAGCGACCTAATAATAGATCTCACCTCACCGCTTAGTGAAATAGAGCAATCATAAAAGCTCTCTAATCATTGGTCGGCAGCAACAAGCACTTTCATTGGGTTTATCGTTTGGGAGGACCCAGGAATGAGAGTGTACACGTGTGTAGTTTCAACGACCCAATTTTCATTACGTTAAACGAAAGTAAAGTAGGTTATGTAGCTGGATATTTAGAAAGAAGCACATTCTACATGAGCATGCTCTTAGAAATGTCCGAGCCATATCTCACCCAGAGAGTGTATGTTGTTTTTTAACAAAAAAGTAGAAAAAGAAGAAGAACAGCGCTGAAAAGGGAGTGCAACATGATTTTGGCCATTGACTCTTATACCAGATATTCAGAGGAACAATTTTCTCTTCTACCTACATAACGTAATCGTTTTCCTACCTTTTACAGTGCCCAAATAGATTACCGCAGATTGCTGCCTGGCTCGTTTCTACACGAAGTGTTTTTCAAATTCCAGTTTTCGGAAGTGGTCACCTCCTGTGAACGCAGAAGGACAGGAACGAAATCACGGGATTTCGCCTTATACTGTGACTTTATGATGGAATCAAATGCAATCGATGCAGAGCTCCTTGGAGAACATAACCCATTCTCCAATATAACCTTATCTGAATCCATACATCCCGACCCTTACATATGAGCTATCACAAACAAACCTTGTGTAATGAAATGCTTGGATGGCTGGGGTGGTGACCTTGCTGTGGAACCTTCAACACTGGGATCCGGTCCTCACAGCAGCTTGACTAAGGGTCCTGGCTATACTCTTGGTTGTCGGCCGGCGCATAGTCAGGGCCCACAGGCAAAGAGAGCGCTATTATGAGACCCGGGTTCCAGTCTTGAATTATCGTTTCTGTAGAGCAAGGCTGTTCAGAGCTTTCGGGAGTTGACGTGTGATAACGCTCTGGTATTCACGAGCCCCATTCTAAGCAATCATGAAGGGGATATCAGAGATATGCACCTAGAGGTGCAATGTTTTAATATGTACAACAGTACTCGTGAATTCGTAGAAAGGTATACGGTACCTGTCTCGTGATCACGACTTCAATCGACTTTCCAACCTCTAGCACGCCAGCCATCGCAGCCGGATCTATGGAGTATTTTGAACCGCTCGGAAGCACCATCTGAATTCGCATCTCTTCATCAATCTATCCAAGAGCGTTCTGAAATCTATATTACCTTATAAGCCAAATTGACGTCGCAGTAGTTCGTCATCGTGTGCTTTGCTTTTCCTCCTGATGTAGTTATGGTGCATTTCGGGGGAACGAAATTGACTTCGTATCCCATCAGCGAGTGTAGACATGAACATTCTTTTTCGCTTAATTCAATTGTTTTTATATCTTCTCTAATGTGTATCATATGAGCAATAATCACACCATGATCTCTCCCCACAATCTTCATGGTGCTTCAGTAGAAGTAAGGTTCATTCTCTAATAACCATGGCTGCAGTCATCCCGATGATGGTCGTGCCTTCTCAGAACCCACTATTCATAGGTTCCGGAGGATCAAAAAGGGAACTTAAGAATCAAAGCGACAAAAATATAGCGTTCAGGGTGAGCTTCATAATATCCATGTTCCTTCATAATATCAGAAGACTATGTAGAAGCCAAAATTCACATTGAACGAAGTAGACATCTCCCTGACAATTTTTTGCCTGACGTCCTCCAGCCATTCTGCATGAGGTTTCTTTCACGGGGAGAGGTTTTCGTTGAAAAGGTGTGTGCTCTGAAATTGTCATACTTCGGAATGACCGCATGTTTGTATCACTGCGAGAATTCGGGGATCCAGGTGTCCTAATTTTGTCTGCGTTTAGCTGTGAACATTGATTTTGAACGCATCCCAACTCTCCTGCTAGGACCTCTTGGCCCATCTCAAGAGAATCCCACACGCAATTTCCAGCTTGGCGAATGTGCAGGCGGGGACATGCTTGCAGTTTACGCCTCCGGAGCAATTTCACTCCCACTAAGCGTTCCACGTCACTAGCTCTAATACCCAAGCTCATAGGCTGCATTCAACATCGGCCGATATTCCTAGATCCAACTCATGGTTAGTAATAGCTTCCAAACGTTCGAAAATGATTAGATTGACAAAAAGTTCCGAAACATAGAGCCTATACAGCAAGAAATGAAGAAATAAAAACAGTTTTCTCAATTACTGTTATTTTTCAGTTGATTTTTCCACCTGGTTCCAATTTTTCTGCGGCTTCACAATTTGGCATGATACCCGCCTATGGAAAATCGTTTGTAGAGTTCAGAAGAAATGTGGGTCGGCTAATATCTTTAGACGATCTTATTCTTATTCACTCATGGTTTAGAATGGCAAATATCCAGAGGAGAGAATGACAGTTGAGTATGCTGCGATGGAAGACAATCAAACCGATCCAAGAGCTAGTTTCGCTACTGGCAAGCCGGTTGGAGAATTTATAGGAGAAACAGAAGTTCGACTCTCTCCAATGACTTAAAACTGGAAATAAATAATGTAACTAATATTATTCAATTCTTCTGTGCCATACAGGTTTTTTAATGGTGGAGTGCTTATTCGCCTGACGTTTCGACAAGATCGTCGTTTTCAAAGGCCTGAAAGCGTATCAAAACTTCAGGGTGTTACCTATCACGTTTGACGTAGACCAGTTCTTAACTAGTTGCAACTCAGACCGCTGAACTTACAACTAGTAGAAACAAGTGGAAATTCCAATAAGTCACTTACGTCAATTCCACCAACACCGAACGGTTGCTCAACTTTAGAGAACTATAGAGCAATTGAGACAGCGCGGTCAACCACGACTCTTTAATAGTATCGTGATATGACACGTATCAGTCTCTACTATCAGAGCTCGCAT